TTTTAAGTCTGTACACACTGTCTAGGGCTGCAACAGCCATCCTGGTATCTACAAGGTAATGGACACAAGGACTAACAGGCAAGACATTGCCACCCTACCAACCCACTGCCATTGACTTGGTTTCAACTGATACAAAAGTGCTTCCTAGGGCTTCTGAGGCTATGAATCTTTACAAGAGCTAACAGCCACATCTTTGTCTTGTGGAGCAGCCAACGGGGTTCAAACTGCTGGCCTTGCAGTTAGTAGCTCAGTTTATAAAGAACTCCAAAAATAAGGGTGGGAATGGTTGCATAGCTTGAAGAACATAATCTAATATTACTTCCCTAAAAAAACCATAATAATTATTGGTGTCTGTGAGTTCTTGGTAACCACTGCAATGAACTAGGAAGTCAGCAGAGAAACAGAAAATGACAGCTCGTGTCAGAATTGGTTAAAAGGTTGGAGAGATGAAGTAGACATGTCTGTGTCAACCTTGGAATAATACTGATCTCCACGCTTCCCCACCCCGCATCATGAAGTTTGAAGAGGCCTGATATGCTATTTTTATAATACCACATATCAAAATTTATGGAACACAGGAAAGGCTATATTCAGAGGGCAATTTATCATGGTTAAATTGCCTATGTTAAAAAAGACATCTCAAGTCAATAACCTGACTTCACATATTGAGGAATTAGGAAAAAAACGGGCAATCCCAACCCAATGCTACCAAAGAAAGGAAAGATCAAATCTCAAAGCAGAGTAATTAAGCAGACAAAAGAAAAACAAGAGAACCAATAAAACCAGAACTTGTTTGTTTTCTAAATCAATAAAACCCAAGAATTTTTAGCAAACCTGATATAAAAAGAGGAAATTCAAATAGTTAAAAGTAGAAATCAAAGTGGCAGTATTACAACTGACCCTAAGGAAATAAATAGGATAAGGGAAGACCATGAACAATTTTATGTCATCAAATTACATAACTTACATTACATTGGCACTAACACAGCTCAAGTTTCCTATATTGACTCAAGATCTCAACTTCGACTCAATAATCAGAGTCTTGAACCAGATGACATCCCTGGAGAATTCATCCAAACATTTAAAGAAAAACTGACACCAATTCTTCTTAACCTCCCCACTCACCCCCACCCCCACCAACAAAAAATGCATAAGAGTGAACATTTTCTATTGCATTACTTTTTTTTTTTTTGCATCACACTTATAACCAAAGCAAGAGAAAACACCACACACACAAAAACTGTAGACCAAGATTCCTTATAAATACAAATGAAAACATAATATTGCCAAACTGTACCCAAAATGATATTTAAATAATTATACACTGGGAACTATAGTGCTATTCATCCCAGGAATACTAGGGTGGTTTAACAATTTCAATGAAAAAAACATACCACATTAATAATGAAGAAAAGATCCATATACATAATTATTTCATTTGAAAAAGACATTTAACACCCAGCCAGTAACCTTTTTGATATTGAGACCTCTATCCACCCCTAATCGGGGTGGGGGACCTAGAAACAAAAATGTATTCTATTCACAGGCCCCTAGGGCCAACAGCAAAGTCAGCAGTTCACAACCAATAGCCACTCCAAAGGAGAAAGAGGAAGTTTTCTACTCCTATGAAGATTTACTGTAAGCTTTCTACTCCTATGAAGATTTACCGTCTCAGAACCCCCTCCCCCCACCACGACCCACATACACAAAAAATAATAACAATAATAATAAAATAAACTCACTGCCATCAAGTCAATTCCAACTCATATCGACCCTATCGGTAGTCAGTTCTCCTGCAGCAGCTTTACCCTGTCATAACAGGGTCACTGTGAGTCAGAAATGACTCACTGGCAGTGACAGATTTTTGGTGTTCATAGCACCATTTCACCATACATCAATCCCCTTCAGGGTTTGCTTTATTGTCCAGCTTAGATGGCTCTTTCACTGTCTGTCACAGCCCTAACTAAATATTCTCAGTCACTGTGATTTGGCATAGCATAGTTTTTTTGTCCATTCGCTTCAATAATTACAAATATTAACCACTCTCAAGCCCTTAAAAACACCATACCCTTCTTTGCAGATGACCTTCCTAATTCAGTCAAAATATCTAGTCCACCAGTTTCACTGCTCTCCCCAATCTATACATCTGCCTATGTCCACTTTTGTATTCTGTCTCAGAGGATGAATAGGCTTTCAAGGCCAGTCCAGCCACATGGGCCTTTGTGTCTCCTCAAATCTGAAAGACCTTCACCAGACTTACATTTTCCATGTCTTCTACTTCTCTATTCCTCCTCTTGGTTTTTAAATGCACTGGTCATCAAATATTTGGTTCTGAGCATATGTCAGACCTTTAGCCAGGTACTCAGGTACCTAACACTCATTTTAGTTCCATTCCAGAATATACAATTGACTAAGAGAGATTGCAAGGCCTTGTGAAATGGAAAACTATCAGGAGCACATTCATGTGCCACCTAACTAATTTGGTGGATTTAAGATGAGTAGAAAAATGAGGGACTGAAAGAAAGCTGGGAATGGCCAGCAAGTTGCTACTGAATAGCAGGGGTATACAAAAGCTAGGTCATCAAAAGCTTAGTAAAGCAATAAGGAAAGTTTTTCGTGATTATAGCACTTTGTTGTGGTGGTAATGGTTTAATATTAAGAGGGTACATGAGTTGTTGCTGCTTCTAAGTGAGAAGTGAGGCTTCAAAGCCAGCTTTTAGCCAAGTTCTCAGGTCTTTCTTTGCTCATCATTCCAATTAAAAAGTAGGTGTTTCCTAACTCTATCACATCACCCTGCTGACAGCATCTGAGGTACTTACTGTGCACTGTCTTTCTACCCTACTAATTGTGAGCTCCATGAGGACAGGGGAGATTTCTTTCTTTCGTCTCAGAGCCTAACATGGTATGGTGGTATATATCAGTGCTAAATAAATATTTGTCAATGAAGGGGATTAAAAAAGGAAAAGGTATAGTGAATGAGGTGGGGAGTACGGAGTGGAGACACAGAGCCCATTTGTAGGCCACTGGACCCTTACAGAAGGGTCTCAGGAGACGAAGCCAGCCAGGGTGCGATGTAGCAATGATGAAACTTACAACTTTCCCCTAGTTTCCTAAATACTTCCTCCTCCCCGACTATCATGATCCCAATTCTACCTTACAAATATGGCTAGACCAAAGGATGTACACTGGTACAGACAGGAACTGAAAACACATGGAATCCAGGGCAGATGATCCCTTCAGGACCAGTGGTGTGAGTGGCAATACTGGGAGGGTAGAAGGAGGGTGGGTTGGAATGGGAGAATCGATTACAAGGCTCTACATGTGACCTCCTCCCGGGGGGACAGATAACAGAAAAGTGGGTGAAGGGAGACATCGGACAAGGCAAGATATGACAAAATAACAATTTATAAATTATCAAGAGTTCATGGGGGGGAGCGGAAAAATGAGGAGCTGGTGCCAGGGGCTTAGGTGGAGAGCAAATGTTATGAGAATGATGAGGGCAATGAATGTACAAATGTGCTTTACACAAATGATGTATGCATGGATTGTGATAAGAGTTGTATGAACCCCTAATAAAAATGATTTTTAAAAAAAGGAAAAGGTATTTAACAAATCTAATAGGAATTCTGGTTGTGTAGTGCTTACACATTGGGCTTTGATCCATATGGCGGACAGTTTAAAACTACCAGCAGCAACTCAGGAGAAAGACTGGGCTATTGACTCCTATAAACAGTTGATTCTC